CAGCATGTTGAGTCCCTTTCTCCCTGCAGAGACCGGTTGTTGTTGGGCCATCTCCTCCTACCTCTGAACCTGGAGTCCACCGGACCTGCATGTTTAGCCCTGTTCAGTATTGTGTTTCCATTTCATAGAGACATTTATTTTACTCAAACATGGCTCTATCTTTTCAATTTTTCTCTGTTTTATAGTTTACTGTCATTGGTGTGTTCTTGAAGGGGGGATCGAGTGTATACCCAACTTACCATCTTTGGGTTTTTTAAGTGATCTCTGCCTAATGTGAGGTTTGAACTCATGACCCTGAGATCAAGAGTCTCGTGCTCTACCAAATGAGCCAGCCAGGCACCCCACCCCACCAAACCATCTTGATTATCTTGATTTTACTAAAATCCATTTCACTACGTTATAAACGCATCATATGAATTAGGAAAATGACACTCAAGGTTTAGACTTTTTACATTGAGAAGGGCTGCTGAATAGTCATGCAGCTTACCTTCTCACTTACCGGACCATCTAGATGCTAAATAGAGAAAATAAGATTCATTAAACCAGGACCATTCAGGTTTATTTGTTAGAATTTTTGTGATGTTTACAGGGCGCCTGGCTGGCTCAGTCATTGGAACATGCGACTTTTGATCCCAGGGTCATAAATTCGAGCCGCATGTTGGGTGTAGAAATTACTGTAAAAAATTTTTTTATTGTGATATTCAAAAGATCTTACCATGCTTAACAGTCGGTTAAGCATCTGACTCTTGATTTCAGCTCAGGTCATGATCTCATAGTTCATGAGTTCGAGCCGCACGCACATCAGGCTCTGTGCTGACAGCATGGAGCCTGCTTCGGATTCTCTCTCTCCCTGTCTCTCTGCCCTTCCCCTGCTCGTGCTCTCTATCTCAAAATAAATAATAAACAAATTTTAAAAAAAGCTTGGTCATAGCAGTGATTTATTTACAGCAGGTTTGTTCATGGATGCCAATGACAATGGCCTTTTCCAGAGAAATAATCATCATTTCTAAGAATAAGTTGTAGCACTAGGTAACACGTGTATCTGTAAAGTATTTCACGTGAAAAGAAGTAAGGGTTTTACTTTATATCAGAGTGTGTGTTGATAAAATAGCTCTTCCTGCGTTTTTAAATTCTAGACCTAGGAGCCTAATAAATTAGACAAATCTGTCTCTCATTCAACTTGTGGCTGGTCAGGCCAAATTTTAAGAATCATGTTCAGTTTATAAGGACACAGACGGGGGCGCCTGGGTGGCTCAGTTGAGCGTCTGACTTCGGCTCAGGTCACGATCTCACGGTCTGTGAGTTCAAGCCCCGCATCAGGCTCTGTGCCGACAGCTCGGAGCCCGGAGCCTATTTCGGATTCTGTGTCTCCCTCTCTCTCTCTGACCCTCCCCCGTTCATGCCCTGTCTCTCCCTGTCTCAAAAAAATAAATAAACGTTAAAAAGAAATTTTTTTTTTTTTTTTTTTTTTTTTTTTTTTTTTTTTTTTTTTTTTTTATTTTTGGGACAGAGAGAGACAGAGCATGAACGGGGGAGGGGCAGAGAGAGAGGGAGACACAGAATCAGAAACAGGCTCCAGGCTCTGAGCCATCAGCCCAGAGCCTGACGCGGGGCTCGAACTCACGGACCGCGAGATCGTGACCTGGCTGAAGTCGGGCGCTTAACCGACTGCGCCACCCAGGCGCCCCAAAAAGAAATTTTTATAAGGACACAGACGGTGAGCCGCCAGAAAGCAGCTAGCTAGTGGGTGAAGACACTTGTAACCCCATTCTGAGCAACAACAGAAATAACCGGGGCACGTTGTTTTCAGCAACTGGATCGTCTTTCTGCAGGTGTCCTTTGAAGAGACTGGCAGATCTCGAGTTGTTCTGTAATCTTCGCTTTATACTTCTCGTTGTTTTGACTGGGTTCAGAGTATAGTGAGGATGACGCTAAAATTACAGACCCCCTCACACGAGGCTGACCTTGGAGCCACTCCAACAAGGGGAGGGGAGGTGAGAAGAGAGGGAACGCAGAGTCCTCTGGCCGAGTCCGACATGTACGTGAGTTCGATGACAGCTTTGTATTGTCTTTAATTGACAACAGGAAGAGCTCAAGAGAGACCTGAGGATTAAGAAAGAAAAAGACATGGTGCAGGCCACAGCGGTAGCGGCTCCCTCCCCCGCAGCGCCGCCTGCGCCTCCGGCCCCTCCGCCTTCACCCCCGCCTCCGCCTCCCCCACAGCACACGGGCCCCCTGGCCACGGCCACGGCCACGGCCACGCTGCCTGCCGCTTCCCAGAAGAGGAAGCGAGAAGAGGAAAGAGACTCGAGCTCCAAGTCCAAGAAGAAGAAAATGATCTCTACTACCTCAAAGGAAACTAAGAAGGACACAAAGCTTTACTGTATCTGTAAAACGCCTTACGATGAATCTAAGTGAGTACATCTTTTTTGAGCCTTAGTTTATTTTCTTAAAAGCTTAGCTGTTAAATTTCCAGTTGTGAAGAAAAGGAGTGTATTGGTAGCCATGTCAATGAAAGTAGTTGAAAGTAGGGATAATAACGTTTTCTCTGTGGTCTTGCATCTGATGTTCTTAAACATGACACTAGAAGAGTAAGACTTTTGTATTTTTCGTGTTCATGATCCATGTTTGTTCTTCATCGTATTCTTTTCTGTCAAAAACAAGCTTTCTGTTGCTCTTTTGCTTTCTCCTCTTCTCTCTGGATTAACTCCAAACCAATCAGTAATGCTGTCGGGAGAAGGAGGTGTGTCATTATCGCTGCCCAAAGTTGAGAGCATCCTTTCTGGAATCTGTTCACAACCTTACAATAACATCACATCTTAGAGACTATCTGAATACGAATGGTGTACAAGGTTTCAAGTTCGAGTAGTTTTGGTTTTTTATTGTTTAATTTTAAGCAATTCTGTGGTTTTTGTATTGGGATACTGAAACTTAATATTATTTTTGTCAAAGTTCCCACTTTCTCACTGGGGACAAAAGCCAGAAAAATACAAGGAGTGTTTTCACTCAGTCCTTAATAATGACCCTCAAAAATGTGACAATAAGCATGGCAGCTGGAAGCTTTTTTTGACTGTTGTGACTTGTATTTGGTGATATATATACAAGATTTTAGAAACACTAATCCATTAATGCAGTTTCATTTGTTATCCTTATCATTCACCCCATTGTCCAGCTTTCCTTTTGAGCATTTAAACGTAGGCCAGCTTTTTAAAGCCAAGATTAACTACGATATTTTTTGCAGGACCAAAATGTTTGATCATGCTAAAAATATATGATTCTTTAGAAGTAGCAATGCTTAATATCTACCTTAAGTGGATGCCTAACCAATTTAGAGAATAAAATTGTGATCTCTTCAGTGAGGTTTTAAGTTACAACATTGGAGCTGCCTTCGTGCTTGCTATTTAAAATTATAACGTGCAAGTTCTAGGTCACACCGTTTTGTTGGTAGATTTAGCTATGTGGTGAATTAGACACGTCAGCTTAGGCATCTTCCCTTTTCATTGTCTCTCTTGGAAATTATATATCATGTGAAAGGTGGAGCCCTATTAACTGATTTTTCCCCCTTAGTTCTAATATAAGTTGCCTCCCTTTAAGCAAAATAATAATGATTTGCAGAATAAAGCAGAACATGATTTACTTTCTTTACACAAAGATCTGTGTATGGAACTTATTTAAGTAATTAGACAAATGTGGCTTATTTAAAATATCCACATCACAGAAATTCATTTCACGCACCAACATCTTTGTCACACTTCAGTTGCATGAAAGTATGTGCTCCTTCTACTGAGATTGCCTCATTATTTTGTGGATATTTCATATTTTTAGTTGGGTGTTATTAAAATATCAGTTTACCAGGTTCATTCACTCCCTGTTCTAGTTGGGATGAGTTACTGTTTTTTAGGAGTATTTTATAATCTCTTGTACCAAACTAGGTTGGTTTGGGGAGCCAGTGAGAATGCCTAAAACTTGAAATTCAAGTCCTGAGCTTACTTCCAGAACACATAGCCCACCATCTCGTGAAGGCAACGTACAAAACACCTGGAAGGCCCAACCCCCCACCTGTGGCAGCAAAAATCCTGGAGGAGTCTTAATTCAAAAGAAAAAAATTAATAGGAGTAGGATGAACCACACAACCGTACTTTATTCCTTTACGTTCGTTTGGAAGGTTAGTTTGAAGTTTGAGGACTGCTTCCATCGCTCCAGGGGAATCCGCCAAGAAATACTTTGGTGGAACCGTGTCAGCAAGGCCAGTCCGGGTCCTTATGATTCACGCGGATTTCTGCCATGATTTTTACATGGCGTTCCTACACAGCTCCTGTCAACGCTTTTAAATGCACTCTGTGTTTACCATAGAGATGCTTTTCATTCGTTCCATCCTTTGGGGTCTTCTGTTACAAAAGCCTGGAGGCCTGGCTGAATGCGATTACCCTCAGTCACACACTCCGACACCCCCACCGTGCCAAGTACTGTGGAACCTCTTGCTGTTTTGGATACCTATCCTGTCTCACTGTCCACGCCGGGTACCCCCTGTTTTGAATCGAAGCAGTTCCTTACCAGTTAGTTAACCTGGTCACTCTCCACACTGTCACATACGTTACATTAACTGAAAAACTGGCCCACATCATAATCTGTTACCATTGGGTTAAATTCCAGTGTTTCTTTAGAAAACTTAGTAGAAAGTGAGTCACTACATGTACCTCTCTTAGTTGTCTTCTTCATGCCATATTTTGACCATTTATCTTTTGCACCTGGCTGACCTGCATGTTCCTCGTAGTGTAACTTCTACTTGGTGTTTGCGCTTTGCTTTGTTCTCAAATTTAAATCGTGAGATACATTTTCAAACCTATCTAAGAAATAGCCCTGAATTTGAAATGGCTTCTGTGGCATAGGTTTGACAGATGTAAGTCTTTGATTCTTCGGCTTTGGTTTTTGTGCCTGTTACAGTTTTACACACATTCATTAAGAGGGAGACATTACCATCAGTGTGTTGTTTATTTTTTCCAATTCCAGTATGTTTTTAAAGACCCATATTTCACCAAACAGTGTATTTGTTGAAATTGATGTGAGTGATTTTATGTTTCCACACTTGATACAGTGTCAGATGCTGTAGTTTGCCAGGGGTAGAATGGTTGGATTCAGGATGTTTAGCTGACTCATTGCAGAAAGTTATCCTGTAAGAAAGTGAATCAGGACAGGGAAGACAGGTTTAAGTATCATGCAGCTCAAAATGACAATTACATTGTCATTTTCATTGTGAATACTTTTAGGTTCTATATTGGCTGTGATCTTTGTACTAACTGGTATCATGGAGAATGTGTTGGCATCACAGAAAAGGAGGCTAAGAAAATGGATGTGTACATCTGTAATGATTGTAAACGGGCACAAGAGGGCAGCAGTGAGGAATTGTACTGTATCTGCAGAACACCTTATGATGAGTCACAGTGAGTTCTGATAAGAGCATCATATTTAATAATTTAGGAAGCCAAATTGCTCTGACTGGTTACTTATTTATTTTAATAAAAAGCAAGGTATTTTTCTGCATATATTATACACTTACATTACAAATTCCTTTCCAATTTTTTTTCTCTTTTTCTCTCTTTACCTCCCCTTCAAAATTTGTGTTGCTTCATAGCGAATGTTTGAGATGCATTGGGAAAAAATACGGTTTAATGGTAGACTTGATTCTTCAATATGTAACAGAAACGAATGAGATGAAAACAGCCTGCTTGTTTGGATTTTATCAGTGTTTGAAATGGTGCATTATTGTAGGTTAGAAAAAAACACTAATTTGGGTAAAAGCTCTGAGACTCTGTTATTAGCTTACAGGATTTTGAGCTCCCAGTTGGGTGGCCAGTATCAGCTTCCCATTTGATACGGTGCTAGTTGAAAGATTTTTGGCTTTATTTTGTTTTGAGCTTTAAAGTCAATCAAATGTTTTACGTTTTTCTTCATATTCTCCAATATTACACAGTGTTCTTAATAAGCTTTTAGTGCTTTGTTAACATCAGAAGTACTAAATTAACACATTTGAATGTCAATCTTCAGAAGTATTAAAACAATTGTGATACTAAAACTATTTTATACCCAGAGTTAGAATCTTTTCAGGTGCATGTTTTACTTTTTAAGGTAGATGTAAGTAACGTGATCCCATCTGTTTTGAACTCACATTTCCATTTCGGATCTTGCAGATTTTATATTGGCTGTGATCGGTGTCAGAACTGGTACCATGGGCGCTGCGTGGGCATCTTGCAGAGTGAGGCAGAGCTCATTGACGAGTATGTCTGTCCACAGTGCCAGTCAACCGAGGATGCCATGACAGTGCTCACGCCGCTAACGGAGAAAGATTACGAGGGTTTGAAAAGGGTGCTGCGTTCTTTACAGGTAAGAAGACGCCGTGTGTGCGTTGTCTGCAGCTGAAATCAGCCAGCGTTGACTCTGGAGCCATTTCTGGGGTTTGAACCTTCCAGTCTCAGAATCTGTGATCGTTTACTGACCTCCAGCCAGTCTAGTGAAGTACTCCAGACTTCAGTCCTTCACGTGCCGATATCACGAGCAGGTTAACCGTATCCACACATTAACTCGAATGGTGTTTATCTGACACTCATATTTAAAACGACTCACTTTTTTAACCTAAATGTAATTTTTAAAGAAAAGTTTTCCTCACTACCATAGATTGAAAAACAGTTCGATTAGATTCTAGTGAGGGGGCACCTGGCTGGCTCAGTTGAAAGAGCGTACGACTCTTGACCTTGGGGTTGTGCGTTCGAGCCCTGCATTAGGTGTAGAGATTACTTAAAAATAAAATCTTAAAAAAAAAAAGAACTAAAAAGAGAACCGTGGTCTCAATATGTGGTGAAGTTATTTATTAGCATGTCTGACACCTCATTCGTCCGCAATGGTGACTGTTCCACCCCAGTTTTACAGGTAGCAGGTTGTCATGTAGGAATGAGAGGACAGACTTCTTGTCTTCTAAGCTAGTGCCCCAGCCCCACAGTTGAGGTCCTCAGACCAACCCTTTGAGAACCGTTAATACAGAGGATGCTCACCCGAGATGATTTGTAAGTAGGGCAAAACTCTACTCACGTTTACATTATAAATAATCTCATCTATCAGGTTGAAAACTGACTTTTGGGGCTTAAGGGTTGATTGATAAAGCAATTCAAATGGGAAACTTAAATGACCTGACAATAATGATGTTCTCTCCTCCCATCACAGGCCCATAAGATGGCCTGGCCTTTCCTTGAGCCAGTGGATCCTAATGACGCACCAGATTATTACGGTGTTATTAAGGAACCTATGGGTAGGTACTTGAGTTGAATATGGAGTTTTTTCAGAAGTCTCCGCAGATATCTGTCACGCGTGATACGTCGTGACGATACGTTGAGCAAGGCTGGTGGAAGAATAAATTGGTGTGGTAACTTGTGGGATGTACTAGGAGTGTGTATTAAGTTTAAATCTGCATTCCCTTGGACCCAGCAATTTCATTTATTAGGATTTACATGGGCACAAGTATGTTGTTCACCACAGTACCGTTGTCAATCCCAGAAATACCAGAAATGACATCAGTGGCCGTCATAGAGGAGTAGCTGAATCAGTGATATGGAAGCAGAGCATCCTACAGCCATATAAAAGATGAGTGAAATCAGTGAGCGAGTCAAGGTCTGAGTCTCTTATAGCTCCCTGTTACCTCTTCCTCATCTTTTCCTGAAGGAAAGCAAATTTGATAGGCCTGCGGTAGAGATCCAAGAGCATATATCCTCATTTCCCAGGAAAAAAAATGGTAACAGGTAACAGTCACAAGTGATTGTATTGAGATGAACAGCCTCAGGTGGTTACATTCAAAGTAGTTTATCTGCAGATGAAATTATAAAAATTAAAATGTACGTCAAAGCTTCCAAAATTGCCAGAGAGGAAAGCAGCTCCAGCTGACCATCTTCTAAATGAGAAGGATTTTATCGTGTATTTTCAAGTTGCTAAGAGAATTATCTGAGCAGTTCTCATCACAAGGGGGGAAAAAAAAAACTTTTTTACTATATGCGGTTGGTGATAGATGTTAATTAAACTTACTGGGCAATCACGTTGCAGTACCTACGTATAATCAGATAATTATGTTGTACACCGAAAACTGATACAGCGTCATATGTCAGTTGTATTTCAGTTTCAAGAAATGGGAAGGGTTTGTGTTTGATGGCTAGTTCAAAGAGGGGAAACCCTGAAGGGGAGGTAGGCGTGAGGGCTTAGCTAAAACGGTCTGAAAAGGCAGCTAAACGGTCTGGTGTTGAAGGTAGAAGACTCTACTCCCTGTACATATTTCACATCTTTGTAATCTCTTTTGAGAAATATCTAGGGATATTTATTTAGATGATAGATAACTCTGCTTTTTTTTAAGTTATATTTTTGAGAGAGAGCGACAGAGCACACACATGCAGGAGCAGGGAGGGGCAGAGAGAGAGGGAGAGAGAGAGAGAGAGACAGAGAGAGAATCCCAAGCAGGCTCCCGCACTGTCAGCGCAGAGCCCGACATGGGGCTCAAACCCACAAACTGTGAAATCATGACCTGAGCTGAAATCAAGAGTCGGACGCTTCACCGACTGAGCCACCCAGGCGCTCTGATAATTCTCCTTCTTAACATAACACAATTATAGGAAAACTAGGAAATAAAAAAAGTAGGAAAAGGTAGAACGCACCTGGATCTTTTCCTCACTGAATCCCATTTTGGAGTGCATGCATGTGCATGTGTGTGTATGTGTGAAAATTGAGATCATATCATCTCGTTTGAGGGGCGCCTGGCTGGCTCAGTAGGGGAAGCATGCGCCTTTGATCTCAGGGTCATGAGTTTAAGCCCCACGTTGGGTGCAGAGATTACTAAAAAAATTAAAACTTAAAAATAAGTAAATAAATAAATATTGTCCTCTGTTTGACAAACACGTCACTGTGCCATTAATCTTCAATAACATGACTTCGAGGACTTTCTGTAGTCTGTGAATTGAATATATTTTAACTTATTTAACCAAAATTCTTTTCTTAAAGAGCTGGATTGTTTTCTGGGTTTCCCCCCCGCCCCTTCATCTTTATTAGCCATCAAGATAAACATTCTCTTGTGATTCGGTATATACATGAAGATAATATAGATCTCCAAGACATATACTCTTGAAAGAAAAATAAAAGTTACAGAAAAATACCTAGATTTTAAGCAGCAAACAATTATATACTTTGTAAGGGCACATAAATGTGTTTAGAAATGCATAAACATGTCTGCGAAGATACAGGCTAAATTGAAAATAGCTTGGGGCGCCTGGATGGCTTAGTCAGTTAAGCGTCCGACTTCAGCTCAGGTCATGATCTCGCGGTTCGTGAGTTCAAGCCCCGCATCGGGCTCTGTGCTGACAGCTCGGAGCCTAGAGCCCGATTCGGATTCTGTGTCTCCCTCTCCCTCTCTCTGCCCCTCCCCCACTCATACTCAGTCTCTCTCTGTCCCTGTCAAAAATAAATAAACATTAAAAAATTTTTTAAAATAGGGGCGCCTGGGTGGCGCAGTCGGTTAAGCGTCCGACTTCAGCCAGTCACGCGATCAGCGGTCGTGAGTTCGGGCCCAGCGTCAGGCTCTGGGCTGATAGGTCAGAACACCTGGAGCTGTTTCGATTCTGTGTCTCCCTCTCTGCCCCTCCCGTTCTATGTATACTCTTCTCTCTCTGTCCCAAAATAAATAAACGTTGAAAAAAAAAAATTAAAAAAAAAAAAAAAATTTTTTAAAATAAATTAATTAAAAATAGTTTATTTTCAGAGAAGGAGGGAACCAATAAGATCAGCAGCTCTAATAAATTTTTTTAAACAGAAATAGGGTTATATGAATGAATCCTGTTTTATAACATACTTTATAAATTTATCAGTACCTTTTTCACATGAGCTATAGTATAGACCTACATCGTTTTTCATTGTATGCAATTAAGATACTGTATTTAATCACCTCTCTATTAATGGGGTTGTCAGTTGTGTGCAGTTTTTGCTGTTATAAACAACACTTGAGTGAATATCTTCTTTCATGCATTTGCCTGCACTTGTTTGTTTTCTGAGGAGAAATTCCTAGAATGAGCATTTCTGGGTCAAATGGTATTTATACTCCATACATTTTTGATAGGTATTTTTGAATTGCACTTCAGTACATTGAACCCGTTTCCAATAATAATGTATGACTGTATCCTTCTCTCTCCACTCTTGAAAACCCTAAGTATTATCGTGCTTTTGATAGGAAATATTTTCTCGGAAAATAATTACTTCAAAATAGTATGTTAGGTGTATAGATGTTACAGAGGTGCAGAGAGTAAAATTTGAAGTGTACTACCACTCTCGTTCTCTGTCTTGGAGTCATTGTTGAAAATAGGTTGATGTATTAATTTTTAATATCTGCCAATTTGGACAAAGAATGTGGTTCTTTGGCTTTGCATGACTTCAGTAATTAGTGTTGTGTACTTACCGTTTGAACTTGATGTGAGTTTCCTATTTATGTATTTTGCCCATACAGAATGTTTCTGGGATGTTCATATTGTTGTCAGTGTTCCTTAAGGGCTCTTTATATGCCAGGGACATTTAAAAGTTTCATACTGATGCACATGGGTGGCTCAGTCGGTTGAGCGTCCAACTCTTGATTTCGGCTTAGGTCATGATCCTCATGGTTCATGGGATCGAGCCCTGTGTCAGCCTCCATGCTGACAGCGCAGGGCCTTCTTGGGATTCTCTCTCTTCCTCTCTGTCTGCCCCTCCCCACTCGCACTCACTCTGCCTCTCCCAAAAATAGTTTTTTAAAAGCTTCTTATTGATTTTTTTGGCATACGATCATTTTTAATGTTTTGGGATTTAAATCTACTAATCATTATGAATTTTGCCTCTGGAGTCATGCCGTTAGTCTTTTGCGCTTCCCCAGGTATATAAATACTCACATATATGTTCTCCTGGTACTTTCTTTTTGAGGGATATCTAATTAAGTTGGAATCACAAAACATCCAAGCACTATTCACATACATTATTAAAGTTAGCCAGACGGTAAGCACACAGAATTTAAGTGCAAGAATGATGTGTTGTGTCAGATGTTTACCCTTTTCTGTACAGCCTCCATACCCTGCACACAATAGACGTGCCCAAGTCTTGCTTGGGATTTCATGAGGCCGGAAGCATGTTTGCGGTTGTATTTTTCCGCTCCCTACAGACACTGCCAGAGACAGATGCGTGCGTGCACATGTGTGGCAAAATATACATAACTACCTAGTATGCACAATTCAGTGATTAATTACATTTATGATGTAGTCCTTTTAGCCCTCCTTATGGTTTTCATCGTTGTCCTTAAATTTTAATCCAGCTGGAATTACTTTGGCATTAGTGTGAAGAATTTTTTCTTCAGCTGTAGAGGCAATTGCCTCAACCCAGTTTCTTTCTTTTTTTTTTTTTTTTTTTTTTTTTTTTTTTTTTTTTTTTTTTTTTTTTTGGTTTATTTATTTTTGAGAGAGAGCACGAATGGGGGAAGGCACAGAGAGGGAAACACAGAATCCAAAGCAGGCTCCAGACTCCTGAGCTGTCAGCACAGAGCCTGATACAGGGCCCAGACCCAGGAACTGGGAGATCCTGACATGAACCAAAGTCAGATGCTCAACAGACTGAGCCACCCAGGCACCCCAGACCTTGTTTGGAAGATGACTACAATAAATGGAGGTGGGGAAATTGTAATAGGGAGAATCTGCCAACCACAGATCTGTAGGCATCTCAAAGGCTAGGCAGAAAAGGGCTTTTCTTTTATAAGGAAGAGTAAACAAGGCTAGAAAGAATGGGATGTGGCAAGTAGGATGAAGAATAGTGGTGTGGTTGGGGGCAGACCCCCTGCATTAGCCTATTTCTAGGAGAGATTATGGAGGAAGGGCTGAGTCTGTTACGATGAGAGTAGGTCAAAGCTAAGGCTTCTGGAGGAAAGAGAGAAGTTTAGCTAACGTATAGTCTAGTCACGTAGCAGGTATTTTGTCCGGATTGGTCAATGGCACCTATAGTTCAGCTAATCATTTATCGCCTCAACCCAGTTTCTTAATGAATTTTCCTTCCTTGGCTTATTTGACATGACATCTTCGACATACATAAAATTCTTCTGCTGAAAATGATTAGGTCTATTCCTGTTTTGAATAGTTTCGTTAACGTTTGTGTCACCCTACGGAATGCCACATTTTCCATTGTCACAGCTTTATAATATTTGTTTAATGTCTGATAGATTAAAATCTCTCCTTTTACGTTTATTTTTCAAATGTTTCTTAGATATTCTTGGGCTTTAAAATCATTTTCTCAAATTCTAAAATAATCACTGAAATTTAGTTTGAAATTGTATTATCTCTCAATCTGTCAAACCTAGATTGATTTGAGATCACCAGCTTTTTATTCTCCCAGGTTTTTTTTTTTCCTTTTTCTTTTTTATTTTTGTAATGTTTATTTATTTTTGAGAGAGAGAGAGAGAGAGAGAGAGAGAGAGAGCACACAAGCAGGGGAGGGGCATAGAGAGAGAGAGGGAAACACAGAATCTGAAGCGGACTCCAGGCTCATAGCTGTCAGCACAGAGCCCAATGCGGGGCTCAAACCCACAAACCACGAGATCGTGACCTGAGCTAAAGTCAGACACTTAGCCGACTGAGCCACCCAGACGCCCTGTGTTCTCCCAGGTTTTTATGTGAGATCATGTGTGGAATTTTCCTTCAAACACAACTTTCTTCTAGGACCTAGTGTTATTTCAAAAGATTAAGCTCAGTATATTCCAAAGCAGTTACCTTTGTCCCAGTTGAATGATTTTAGTCCTCTCTTCATACTACCTGTAGTATTAGATACTAATATTTTTATTCATATCCGCTAAGATTTTTCCCTTTAAGTGGACACTTTATATCCTTGCCACCTTAAGTGTTACATTAGTGTCACTTGGGGTGCCTGAGTGGCTCAGTTGGTCGATCGTCCGACTTCGGCTCAGGTCAAGATCTCGTGGTTCATGAGTTCGAGCCCCACATCAGGCTCTGTGCTGACAGTTCAGAGCCTGGAGCCTGCTTCGGATTCTGTGTCTCCCTCTCTCTCTGCCCCTCCCCAGCTTGCCCTCTCGTCTCTCTCTCCCTCAAAAATAAATGAAACCATTACAAAAATTGTTAAGGTGTCACTTGCCACCAATATAAGGTAACAATAAAAATTAGTAAAGAAAGCAAAATGATGGTATTAACATCTAATACAGGTATCACAAAGCCCCAAAGATATTTCGGTCTTAATTTTGGATTGCCTCCTCTTTGTACATGTAATACACATAATTGTTTGCATGTAAAAATGTATTATGCTTAGATGCGTATTGATCGTGTGGGTGTAGTTTCCTTTATTTCAACCCAACTGAATGAAGAGCTGTTCTCTCATTAACTGAAAGTAAAAGAACCTTCTTAATAGCAGCCAAGGTTTATATTTTAGACTCCCCCAATCAAAACCAAAATTGGAGAAGTGCTCCTTTTTTCTTCATGAATTGCTGAACAGTCCCCAGTGGTGAATCAGCTTGGTTTCAGGGGCTGTTGGGGCAGGAAACCTATATTCTTATTAGAACTGTGGGCAGTATTCACATTGGAACTGCCTTAAAGCTTTAAAAATGTTCTGTGTTTTGTGTTTTTAAGACCTCGCCACCATGGAAGAAAGAGTACAAAGACGGTATTATGAAAAGCTGACGGAATTTGTGGCAGACATGACCAAAATTTTTGATAACTGTCGTTACTACAATCCTAGTGACTCGCCTTTTTACCAATGTGCAGAAGTTCTTGAATCATTCTTTGTACAGAAATTGAAAGGATTCAAGGCTAGCAGGTGAGCAAATGCGTTCCGTGTTCTGAATTAACCCAGTTCCTCCAGTTCTTCCTACTGTTTTTGTCTAGATCAGCCAGTGCAGTCTGTGATAAATTTGAACCTTGAAATCAAGAATCGTGAAAAAAGAAAAAAAATCAAGACTCTAGCATTACAACACACTGCCAAGGACAAGAGGACAGACTCAGCAACGAGAAGTTGCTGAGTTTGTGATCTGCTGAAAATTAAAGTTTTTGGGTTTTTTTTTTTGTTTGTTTTTTAATAAAAAAGCACTTATCAGATGCTTATAGAATGCAAGATGCTCTCTTAAATGCCACACGGGGCAGGGGCACCTGGCTGGCTCAGTCGGAAGAGTGTGCGACTCTTGATCTCGGGGCAGTGAGTTCAAGCCCCATGTTGGGTGCAGAGTTTACTTGATAAAATAAATAAATATATATTTATACTTAAGTAAATATATATTTATATTTAAAAAAGAAACATGCCATGGGGCACACAAAAATTTAGTAGCAAGACAGAGCTCTTGCCCTTACTGAGTTTACCAAAGCATAAAAATTACTGTTCTGTAGGGTAGAGTAAGGGGAAGACTAGGAAGGGGGATTTAAGCACTTTCTCCTTAATTTATGCTTGCTACATCTTTGAAATCATAAAATGTTTTATTTCTCTGGGTATTTTTCCTGTGAGCAAAACTAGACTTTAAGTCCACCGGCCTTTACTGTGAACCTCCGGTAGCACAGAAGCAGTGAGCAACTTTGCATGCTATTCAGATACAGCATCTTCGTGCCTTTTGTTTCTGCACCTCAGTCTCCCCTTCTGAAGCCCATGACTTTCTTCTTTCCAACAGGGCCCTGTTCTCTTTTCCTGTGATAACTTCCACCACTTTGTAGCCCTGATATTCACTACTCACCATCATCCCCCATCCACCAGCTTGCATGCTCGATCCTAGGTACTCGGACTGGGTAGATCTTGGCTGGTCTGGGGCCCGGGCATCTCTATTATCTAGTGAACTCTGCGTATCAAAGTGTAAGAATCAGTGCTGTGCTTAGTTATTTTCTTCTGAGGAAAATCCGTAGGGTGTTGTCTCTCTCCTTGTCCCGCAGCAAGGTAGATCAAGAACTGCATTTTGAAATCCGTTTACATAAACTAAAAGTGAAGGACAAGCCTAGCTAAGGTGTCCCAGGGAATCAAAAGTATAGGCAAGGAAGGAAGGAAACCAGGTAGGTGGGCAGGCTCTAGACCAAGAACGAAGAGAGTTTACAGAATCTCTGAAACTCCCATTTGTATCCTCTCCTGTTAACCCATTAGCCGTAGAACCTAAAGTGGAAGAGGACGACTTACTCCGTATGGTAAAGTCCCTCGTAAAATAATAGTGAAGGAATAAAAAGGGATAAACTCAGAATATGAGAAGAATATGGTAGACGTTACTGATGAGGTTTCCACAGATTCTACAGAATACAGAAAGCAGATGAAAGGATCATCTGACAAAGCCAGGGGTGCCACAGGCCATTCGCCGGCTCTTCAGCAGAGGTGACCGCTTGCTGACCAGTAGACCTGCTGCAAGCCTCCAACACGAAGAGTCCAAAACACAATAAAAGGCAAGAGAGGAGTTAAAGATCTGTATATGGGCTAGTCACCCTTTGTAAGCTGTGTACAGACAGCCCTGTGTGGGCAGCCCGAAGCACTGGAAGAACACAGGTTTCTTCCCTGGAGAAATGGAATAAGCTTTCTGCAGAGAACTGGAGTAGGCAGAAGACAACTGGACTCGGAGTAAAGTCCCCCGACCTGAGGTTTGGTTGGGTCCACGGCCCTGTCACTCTGGAGCTGTGGCTCTCGACTGGGATGATTTGCCCACCCCCATACTTCCCACGGGATGTTCAGCAATGCCTGGAGGCATTTTTGTGGGTTACTCAGAGGTGGGAAGTAATGCTGACGAGATGCAACTAAACGTCCTCGCGCACCAGACCGCCCCCGCCCCCAACAAAGAATTATCCAGCCCCCAAATGTCAGTAGTGTTGAAATTAAGAACGCTTGATCGAAGGCAACACTTGCCAGTCAGCCTTACACAGGTGCATAGGGCTCTGCAGGCACCTTTCTGGTCCTTCAACTTCCTCTCTTTCAGTGTGAACAGATAGCCAGGGATGACCAGATATGTAAGGAAAGCTTGCAGCATAAAAGAGAAAGGTCAAGGTGTAGCAGAACAGATAAAAGAGCACTTAAGAAAAACAAACAAAAAACCAAGCCTCTAAATCATGTCCCAAGAGAAATTTTATGAGATAGTGAATCTAGGGGCACCTGGCTGGCTCAGTGGGTAGAGCATGATCTTGGAGTCATGAGTTCCAGCCCCACGTTGCAAGTAGAGTTTACTTAAAAAAAAAAAAAAAAAAAATCTTGAATCTACAAAATGGCGAAAAGGATATTAGGAATAAAGAACAGTTAGAAGGAGTGGCTAGAAAAGAAACTAAACTTACTGTAAACAGTGAAAGTTAAAATCAAGGACTTTCTCACTGTAAAGAACAAAAAGACAAGTCAATGAAAAATGTGAAAGGAAGAAAATGCATTGTAGCATTTCCAGTACTCACTTAATGGAAATTCCAGAAAAGAAGAAGAGAGAAGACTGGGGAAAATAAATTATCAAAAGACTAATACAAGAAAAATTCCCTGAGCTGATGAGAGGCACGAGACTTCAAGTTCAAGCAGAACAGATTCATTCATTCATCAAATGGTTATTGAGACCCTGCTGTGTGTCAGATATTGAATCCCTCTGGGGCTTCATTCTTGTGGGGTGAGAGGGGTATGGAATGATAAGGACAGTTGGTAAACATATAAGCCAGCTGGACAAATGGGAAAAAGTCCATCCCACATATCCATCATTGTAAAATTTCCAGATGCCAAGGATAAAAGAAGTTTTTCTCAGCGTTTCTAAAGAAAATAAAACAACCTATAAAGCAACAAGAATTAGACTGGTACCAGACTTTTCTCTAACAACATGGAACGCCGGAAGACTTTGGAGGAATACGTCTAAAAGTTTGAGGAAAAATGATTTTCAACCTACGATTCTGTGTCCAGCCAAACAATCAAGTGCAGGGGCAGAACAAATGCACTTTCAGTCATGGAAGGACTCATAAAGGGACTCCTTCCCATGAATCCTTTCTTTGCAAGTTATTTTAAGATGTGCACTAGCAAAATAACTCAAGAAAACAAAAGATCTTGGATCCAAGAAACAAGCGGTTCAGGAAAATAATATGAATCACTCTAACTCATGACGACATTGGTACAGCAGGCTAATGCAGCAGGGAGTCCAAACTGGAGCAGGAGAATGGAGCATTCTCAGGAGGAAGGTGTCTGGCGGGAGAAATGGTTCATACATTAGATAATTACTAGTTTAAGAATGCAAGAGGGAAAAAATGGAAGGCAATTCAAGATCCCATGAAAACCATAAAGTTGTGTAGGAATGCTAAGAATGCCCTCTTAGCAAAGGAGTAGGTGGCACAAGGAGAAAAATATTTACAGTCACAATAATGTAAACAGTGCGTTGATGTTCAGCTTTTAGAATCAACCTGTAGACAAAGCACAGTAAGATTTAATTTAAAATTACAAGTAAAAGTTGGATTCAAGAAGAGAGGTGGGAAAATGGTTATGTGAGCTTAGTTATCATTTGCTGTAGCAGGATTTAAGCAATATGAAGTTGCTTAAACGAGAAATAGCAGCATGAGAACTCTACGTGCCGACGAACTGGAGTTCAAAGCAATTGATCCTAGGGAGCCTTGGCTTCAGGTTGAGTAAATATTGGGATAAGAGGACCACAACTTAGTTTCAGTCTCTCCCTGCTTTTTTATTTGCACCTCTTGCAGTTAGTCCTCCGGTTAAATTTCTGTAGTTGCCCTTTTTTAATTGGAAAGGCTTTAGCCTTTGCTAGTAACTGTGAGGTGGAAACTGGGGGATTTGAATCCCACCCTGCTGCCATGCCAGGCTTGCAGGCAGAACCCAGAGTGGGAATGGTAGCAGCTGCCAATGAAGGAGGAGAAAGCATCTGCGGGCTTGTGGCGAAACAAAGAAATTGGGGAAAGGAGGAGGTCCAGGGGCTGGGTCTGCACAGTACAGGGGCCACTTACGAGAGCTTGTCACCCATTTATTTTTTGCAGCTTTTTATTTTATTTGAGTTCACAGAATCTTCATTAAGGAACATGGGAGCAAATTGACAAGTTTGCTCAATTCTATAAGATGAAATGTGAGAAGATTTTAAGGAATTTTTTTGTTGCTTTCCAGATTTAAGGCATTTAAGAATGAAACCTACATGTAGCCATTCATTGAAATGGGATTGATTTATGGGTTTCCAGTATTTCCATTGCCATATTTTCCCCATTTTTAATTTATGATCTCTAGCATTGTTCGCACATTATTTTCATTACTGTGCTTTGTTACAATTCATCATTTATACCATCCATGTTCTTTCTTTTCTTACAGATTCTGATATCTTTAGTCTGAATTTTTAACTGGAATCAGAACTGGATGTTGGGGTCACTCTTTCTTTTATTGTTCCACGTGATTACCTAATTCAAAATTGCCCCCCCACAAAGTTCATACTAGTTAATTTAATGTTTTAATGTTAAAAATATATGTACAGTAGTAAATGGTTTATTCTAGCGGCCATGTTGAACAATGTACTTAAGAATTGTAAACTCCTGGAATGCTGTATTTATCCACACTGCTGCAGTAGACCGCACTCTGACTTAGTCCTGGCGGCTGTGCAGGAGTGTGGTTTTTACTAACGAAAGTTGTGAATAAAACTGTGAAACTAGAGAGGAGACTTTCTGGACTTCAATAGAAAAATGTGATTTTAATACTGCTATTTCTTTTTTTTTAATATAATTTTTTCTTCATATTCCCCGAATCAATGTAAATAAGCATGTACGTACACACACACACACACACACACACACACACACACACACAGACACGCACACACACACACGCGCGCACACACACACCTTTACCACAATGGTAATGCCTCTGTAAATGTTTCTATCTGTCCCATTGGCTAAAAATGTATAATCTTTATTAGATGAATATATATATATATATATATTTTAATAATGGCTTTTTCCAGTGAACTATCATGTTTCAGTGTACAGTGAAAATTTCTATTGTAGGTTAACAGTTTCTTACTTGTTCTCATATATTTGCTTGCCAAGGGTAAATGAAAGAACATGGCTGCTTCTTCCCCCAGACAGACTGACCTTGGCATCCACATAAAGCATCATTGTTTTCAAAAATGAAGGGTGCTTAATTGTTCCCTTTTTTCTGTATTCTGTAGGTCTCATAACAACAAACTGCAGTCTACAGCTTCTTAAAGTTCAGCGTGTTAACCTAACATAAAACACAGCAAGAATCTGGTTGTCTGAACTATTTTAAATTAAGGAGCCAGATGTTTTTAGTCAGGTTATCCTGACAAGACTTGACCTAAACTTCGTTTTTATTGGTCATAACAGTCCAATTATATTCTTGGCCAATTTTGTCCAACGGACAAGGGAAAAGCAAAGTCAACGACACCATTATCTTGTCAAGATCAAATGGTTTTACTATTGTGGCAGAAGCGGGAAAACTTTGTTTATTGAGAAAAAAAAAAAAGAAAAAAGAAAGCAAGAAAAAAAGATAATATGGGGTCAAGTGTAACTCCATGGAAATGCCACGTCTGCTCTTCAGTGAAGAAGCTGGTTTAGTCTCACAGAAAACTTTTGACTGTATTTATTTATTGTTGCAAAAAAGACGCTTTTTTATTGCTGCCCTCATTTGTCAGCTAATTATTTTTTCTTATAAAATCCAGCCCCAGTTTCATGTAATCCGTTCTGTATCTTATCATGATTCCTGTAGGTAAAAGTACAAGACGACCTCTAGATGTCTTTTCTTTCTATGAAAGGAGCTGCTATGTACACATGTGCACACAGACACAGACACACACACACACACACAGACACACACACACACACACAACTGGGAATCAACAATGAGTTTATTGTTCATGGTAGATAAAAATTAAGCTTGCATAAAGGTTGGGCTAAGTGGTCCTGGACTACAGACTCTGTTGCCTTGAATATAACAGTACAATTTGTCATTTACTCTGCACCAGGCTAAACTGAGTAAAATCTATTTGAAGGTATCTTGTTTGTAAACATTTGTCAGATTCTAATTTTTTTTCTTTTTGTATTAAAATTCAACTATGGATGTATATGAAACAAAATAAATGGAGATCATTTTTCTCCCACAGATGGTGTCTTTGAATGTGCGCTAATGATTATCTGTAAGCCTTTGAGGGGAAAGGGAGGGCCACAAGGTAAACAAAAGCCCGACGAACTTCATTGTACCTGAGTTTCTCCAGGATGATAGTGGCCCTTCATTTTAGAGTTCCCAGCCCACTGTCACTACATCCAAGAAGAATCTTCAGGGGTGCTAATCCTGTTGTATCAATTGATCGTACTAATAAAAGAGGTAATGTGGCAAAATACACATTGCCCTCATGGGTACGTTATATCCTACCAGGCAGATTAGCAGTTACGGACAGCTACTTCTATTTTATGAAGGGCGTTTTTCAGATGACATGATCCATGTTGTATTTTTTGTTTATTGGTTGAGTTGTCTGGGTTTGGGGGGTTTTTTGTTTGTTTTTTTCCTCATAAAAAGTAGTGTAAGCAAGTATGGGAAAAGATGGAAGCAACAGAGGAAGGTATACTTTGCAGATTTTTCCTTTCGGTGTTCCACCCTTCCATGTTGTGTTACTGTGTTGTAATAATCGCTTCTGTAACATCTGCCGTAGGTGGTTTGTGGAGCTTTGCAAAAATTTTACTAGATTTTGCACTAATGCGCATTAGCTTTGTCCTACCGGTTTCTGGAATTTGTCTAATCATGTTTTTAAAGTTTCCTTCTGTTTAATATCACCCTGCTATGCAAAGCCTTTCCCAGACCTTAGTTTCTTAAAAGAAAGAGGTGGCTCCAGTTCCCAGTTCTTCCTTATTACAGACTCAGGTGTGCAGGTGTTCTGGGTTCATTTTATCTCAAGAAGCCCATTCCTTTTTGTACATACGAATGTCACTTAAAGCTCTGCTTACAAACTTAAGGAGACTAACTGCTCAATATGAAAACGTGGAAACAGAGTTTTTGCTTAAAATACTAACACGGAAGTAGTCAAATACAGGTTATTTACAGGTTATTTTGTCCTTTTACTTTTCAAGAAAATGTTACCTATTGTATGCACTGTGCTGATGCAAGAGTCCTACAATTTAATGAATTATAAAATTATTCTGCATCTCATCATGTCACAGTATTTCTGTACTATTTATTCATATATATATATATATAGATATAGATATATATGGGCTTAATCATTTAAAACTTGTTGCGGCAAGAACTTTCCTACCTGTAGGCAATAGATTGCTATGTTTTTAACAGATTGTGGCAAATTCTAAACAGCAATTCTTTTTGTACGTAATAGGACGTTTCATCCTAGAAAAATAAAGTAATGTTTTTGACATTGGATTTGGTGCAGTTTCTAATGAAACAGTGGTTGGTTGGTTGGTTGATGTATTTTCTGTAGCCATTGGCATTGCCAAATTGTACCAAAAAAAGGTAAATTTTATGGGGATCCTCAGACCAGGAAGTTGTTAGTTTCATGTGTGCATTTAACAACAAAGCCTTTGGCAATTTCTGCCACCATATAAATAGGCATTTTATAGTTTTATCAACTTAATAGAGCTTCAGTCTTTCAAAAATCATTTTTGAAAAACATACATTCTTATATAATGAATTTCACAAGCTGCTTTTCTACGAGTATTCTCTGACAGGCTCTTCCTATTCCATAAGATACACGTATTATAGCTGTTTTCCTTTCAATAGTCCGAGTAGTAGAATGCACATTTGTGATACGTGGTTAGTTAGGGTTTTTCTACTTCGTCTTGTAAATATATTGAATTTGCATCTAGTAGGTGTCCTTGGCCAAAAACTATTGGTGCTTGGGGGTCTCATCTGCCAAGTTCACAGTCCTTGAAAACGTTTCATAATAATAAGTATTTTCATAATATCGGTAAAGCTTTTTTCTCCCATCCAGATTCTGCAGGATTTGTATTTTAGCTAATGCCCTGCAATAGGTTAAAAAAATTTTTTTGTGAACTTTCAGAGCTATTTTCTAAAGTAAAACAATGCCTTTTTATACTTTAAATGGCCTGGAGTGTTAGAGACCCTGAGATTTTGCCGTTGTTTGTAATCTACCTTCCCAGAATCTGTAAATCGATGTTCTTCCCCTCTTTGTATTCATCTTTGTGTGTTTCTGATATTAAAGGAGCCAGCCTCGTGGTGACCTTTTAAGTGTGCGTGGACGGGCTGAGCCAGACACAGCTGCACGGTAGTGGTGGCCCCTGCTCTTTCCGTGATTGAGGGTGTTCCCCGGAGGCGTCCAGTTTAGTCCTGAATGTGAGAATGGCGCCACCTCATGGGCAAAGCAGTGTCTTATTAAGTGTTCGGAGGGGAAGAGCCAGCTGAGAAGTATTTTTAATAATACGAAGTATTCTGAGCGATACTTCTGGATAAACTGAGAAAGACGTTTCCTAGAAGATCACACCCCATTTGATCCAATTTGGACCAAATTCAACTAAAGAAAAGCTCTATTTTTTTAAATGATAAAGTCCCAGACCTGAAACGGGGATTGTAATTGCAATTGGTAGGCCAGTTTTTAGGTGTCTGCATATAGGCTGTTTGACCCACCTTAAGAACGATGGAAGGAATTTAAACAGTGCCAAATGATGTCTTTTAAAAACTTAAAAGTCAGTACCCAAAAAAGGCATATATTTTTTTATAGACCTGAAAGCAAGACAAGTACTTTTTTTTTTTCTTGAGTTCTAACAGCTTAATTCAAAGGAGGGATGGTACCGAGTTCCTCTCGAAGGCAATGGAGTGTTCTATTGAGAGACTACTGCCAGCGCACATAGCCTCTTAGTCTTTGGCACACAAACACACGTGCTAAGAAAAATCTATCAGGACAAAAGGATTAGGAACTACAATGAATTTGCTACTTAAATGTTTCCATAAAATTACAGATTGTGGCCAATGAAATTCTTAACCTTTTTTGCCCAACTTGGGATTCTCCGTCTTACCACCTCCTGTGCACACACACCCCCGCCCACCACTGCTCTCACTGGAGCCTCACTTGTCTCTCGTTGCAACCTGGTCTTGAACGATGGCCATAACCCTGGGCAACTCCTAAAAAGCTGGCCTGCTTGTGTTTGCCGGGACGTACGCACTAACCGGGTGACCACGCGTCACACAGATCACACAGTTCTGCCGTTTTGTGTGTTTCCAAAACTCAGAAACTATCATCAAATCAGTCTAATCAAACCCTAACCCTAACCCTCAGGCTTCTGTCAAAGTGATGTGTTCCCCTCCCTTTTAAGCCAAAGCTATTTATAGAAGAACCCTTGTAACTATTCTAACTTCCAACCATCCAGCCGATAATTTATCCGTGTGGCCATTTTGCAATTTTCCCCACCGCGTTGGTCGAGATTACCACTTAGCTTTTTCACGCTGAAAAATTCAGCTTTGGTTTTTGTGACTGGCACAACTTATGTCTGTTAATCTTTACTCTTAAAAAAAAAAAAAAACAGCCAGAAGCTCTTCAATTGCTGCTTCCTCTACTGGCTGATAGTCGGTGTTACAATGCAAGTGATCCAGTCGGTGTTACAATGCAAGTGATCCGTTCCCAAGAAGCAATTCTACCATGATTTTTAGTAAAAGCGAAGTAAGACTACTTTGGAATTCTAAAAAATCCCTGAATAACGCTTTACCACAGAACAGTCAGAACCTCTCCAATGTTATTTTATCCCACCTCTTTTGGGACACACCAGGTAATAGTATCTCCCACACAATCAGATGTTACATCTTAATGCTACTGCTGCTAACTTCCTTATGGATGCTCTATCGTCCTGGCCTCAACATCCTTCACGTATACAGTGCTTCCGTGTGCCATCAAGACTGTCTAAAGACACATCTTGAGCTCCCGGAGCGCATCTCCTTTAGGACCACATAGGCTGGTTTTTTTCCCTTCAGCTCAGTTCCTGTTTATCTTTCCTCATGCAACCATGGATTCAACCATGGATTATCCGTGTCTCTATCCACAGGTTTCAAGTTAACTGATGTGCAGCTTGGTCTTCTGAAAAAAAATTGTTAATGTCTTTGTGGACTCCAGTATAAAATCAATATTAAATACAGCTAGTGATTCTACCTTTTGCAAACTAACCGGCAAGTGTTTAAAATTCACATATTTGCAAGCTGTCATTGACTATTGGTTCCAGGGTTTTTGGAGTAAGTTCGAGAAGGGCTTTTTCCTAAACCTTTAGAGCTCAGTGAGGCTAAAAAAACAAACAAAACAGGTGCATCCAAGATCTGATTTCAAGGCGAGATTTACTACTTGACAAACACAAACATGATACTTGGTCTTAATAGAAAAATGACATCAGATACGCCCAGAATATGTCTAGCATTGGGACAGACATTGTGTTGCCAGTTCGGCACGCAAAATATGTTTTAGGAGCAGGGAGGCATGAAAACAAACTATTTCTTACATTTTGGTACATCAGGAACACTTGTTTGAATAATATTTTGCTTGAATTAAGCCCGTTAGTACTTTTTAAGTGTAAAACTTTAATACTTGTCTTGAGCTCTGACCCTAGTGTTTGATCTAAATGACATTTCATATATGTCTTCTGACTAGTGCACTTACTGTTATGTACAGAATTTAAAATGTGATGGTTTTAGTATGAAATTTGGTTTGATACGCGATATAACCTATTCAAAGTTGTATATTTAAAATCAAGGAAATGTTTTTTTGTGAACTATTTCTACTGAAGAATGTATTTAAATTAAAATAATTAAAAATAAACACCATGAAGCAGTGATCTGTTAACTGGACAGGTCAGTTATCTGAGCCGTGTGAGTAAGTGCCCCTAGAGTTGAATAACTTTGCCAGGCAGCTCAGAAGCATACCACGGAAGAAGCATTTTGTAAATAAGAAAGTGGCAATTTCAGGATTCGAGCTGGAACTACGCAATCACTTCCCGAAGGAGCTGTGTGCCCCACTCCACAGGAAGACCCCATTACACGAAGACAGACCTTGCCTGTCTCGTTGCTGACAGCCAAGTCTCTTATGATCCAGAAGTGCAAGGACAGTAGTACATTTCAAACACACTGGGTGTGAATTGCACCTTGAACTTGCCCATCCCTTTTTCGGTTAAATCTCTTCACATAGCTGCTGCTGCTCCTGAGCAGGCCATCTCCTGGCCTGAGCCGTCCTCTCAGGACCTGAAGGAGAGCTGTAGGGAGCTGCCGTCTCTTATGGTAGATGTGACCCATCACAATATACCTGCTGCCTAAAAAAAAAAAGTAACCAAAATGTAAATTCACAGTGTCTTTTAAAAGCCAAGGAACAGAAAATGTTGAGACTGTCAAGAAATGCCTAAGCTTGGGGCACCTGGCTGGCTCATTCGGTGGAGTGTGCAACTCCTGATCTTTGGGGTTGTGGGTTCGAACCCCATGTTGGGTGTAGAGATTACTCTAAAATCTTTTTTCATGATTATTTTTATTTTAGTGAGAGAAGAGCACGCGTGAGCAGAGGCGGGGGGCGGGGGGGCAAATATCTCAAGCAGGCTTGCATGCTCAGCGCAGAGCTGGAAGCAGGGCTCAATCCCAGGACCCTGGGATCAGGACCTAAGCCAAAATCAAATCAGACACTCAAGGGACTGAGCCACCCGGGTGCCCCCAAAATAAAATCCTTAAAAAAAAAAAAAAAAAAAAAAA